CTCTCCTCATCCATCTCTCCCACTGGAACTTCACGTACTCAGTGAGAGTGAGAACTGGGTTCTAATCCTACTCACCATCCTGTCACCATGGTGAAGACTTGCAGTTGCTCCGGGCCAACACTGGCTGGCCGGGAGATGGGGATAATGAGGACCTTCCTCCTAGAGATGCACGACGGTTAAATCAGATAATTCGATTAAGCGCTTAGCGCTGTGTCTGGCATGTAGCAACCACTCAGTAAATGAAGGCTTTAATAAGGTTGAGTGAAATGCTTTGAAAATTTGGCACGACTGTATACAAAGTGAGTCTCCCAACTCCTGCCACATGAGTTAAGCAAGACAGGAATTAGTAGCAATTTTCCAGTGAGAAAATTGAAGCTCTGAGTCTGAATGGTGTAGCTGGAGTGAGGCCTCAAATTCTCTGGATTTCAAAGCCACTTCATGCTGCTGGAAAATCTCATTGTGGCTGGGAAAGGGCACTGTAAATGACCGACTGTGGGTTCCACTAAGTGGGCTGGGTGATGCTCTCTGGCCAGGACACCACCTGTATCCTTTAACCCTTCTCTTCTGGGTACCAGAGAAGTCCCGGGGCCCAACCGAAGCTCATGTCCTCTGTTTTCAGGTGATGACCCTCCTCTGAGGAAGCCCTGAGTGTGACCGAGGAAGGGACTGTCCCCCTCGTCCTACCTGGCCACTATGAACACCTCAGCCCCACCCGCCGTCAGCCCCAACATCACTGTTCTGGCCCCGGGGAAGGGTCCCTGGCAAGTGGCCTTCATCGGGATCACCACGGGCCTCCTGTCACTGGCCACCGTGACAGGCAACCTGCTGGTACTCATCTCCTTCAAGGTCAACACGGAGCTCAAGACAGTCAATAACTACTTCCTGCTGAGCCTCGCCTGTGCCGACCTCATCATTGGCACCTTCTCCATGAACCTCTATACCACGTACCTGCTCATGGGCCACTGGGCCCTGGGCACGCTGGCCTGTGACCTCTGGCTAGCCCTGGACTATGTGGCCAGCAATGCCTCGGTCATGAATCTGCTTCTCATCAGCTTTGACCGCTACTTCTCTGTGACCCGGCCCCTGAGCTACCGCGCCAAGCGCACACCCCGCCGGGCAGCTCTGATGATCGGCCTGGCCTGGCTGGTCTCCTTCGTCCTCTGGGCCCCGGCCATCCTCTTCTGGCAGTACCTGGTAGGGGAGCGGACAGTGCTGGCCGGCCAGTGTTACATCCAGTTCCTGTCCCAACCCATCATCACCTTCGGCACCGCCATGGCCGCCTTCTACCTCCCGGTCACAGTCATGTGCACCCTGTACTGGCGCATTTACCGGGAGACGGAGAACCGGGCTCGGGAGCTGGCGGCCCTGCAGGGCTCTGAAACACCAGGCAAAGGAGGTGGCAGCAGCAGCAGCTCAGAGAGGTCGCAGCCAGGTGCTGAGGGCTCACCAGAGACTCCCCCGGGCCGCTGCTGTCGCTGTTGCCGGACCCCCAGGCTGCTGCAGGCCTATAGCTGGAAGGAGGAAGAGGAAGAGGACGAAGGCTCCATGGAGTCCCTCACATCTTCAGAGGGTGAGGAACCAGGCTCTGAAGTGGTGATCAAGATGCCCATGGTGGACCCCGAGGCCCAGGCCCCCACCAAGCAGCCCCCAAAGAGCTCCCCGAATACGGTCAAGAGGCCCACCCGGAAAGGGCGAGATCGAGCTGGCAAGGGCCAGAAGCCCCGCGGGAAGGAGCAGCTGGCCAAGAGGAAGACCTTCTCACTGGTCAAGGAGAAGAAGGCGGCTCGGACCCTGAGTGCCATCCTGCTGGCCTTCATCCTCACCTGGACACCGTACAACATCATGGTGCTGGTGTCCACCTTCTGCAAGGACTGTGTTCCCGAGACCCTGTGGGAGCTGGGCTACTGGCTGTGCTACGTCAACAGCACCATCAACCCCATGTGCTACGCACTCTGCAACAAAGCTTTCCGGGACACCTTCCGCCTGCTGCTGCTCTGCCGCTGGGACAAGCGACGCTGGCGCAAGATCCCCAAGCGCCCTGGCTCTGTGCACCGCACCCCCTCCCGCCAGTGCTGATAGCCCCCTCTCTTGCATCCTTCCACCCCAGTCCCAAGGAGAAGCCGGCGGAAAGCAGGCAAGGGCTGTGTCCTCAGCCCCAGGGCTCTGCTCAGGCCCCACCGGGCTTCCCAGGCCCCTGGGTCACCCTCCTGGACAGCCCAGAGGGACCCTGCCAGCTTTCCAAGTTTGGCTGTTCCCAAGCAGGGAGTGAAACCCGGGGAACTGGTTTTTCTGTTCCCTGCTGGGTGGGAATGGGCTCTTCACCAGGAAGAAGGCCTGGGAGGAGGATCCGGGCTTTGGACTCCTTGTTTGCATTAAGACAGGAAGTCAGGAGCCGGCAGGGCGAGCCTGTAATTTAACATCACAGTCTTCCTTGGCCCCGCTGTGGCCAATAGAGATGGCTCCCCCTGGGGACCACAGCTGGGAACTGACACCCACCACTGAGAGAAAAGCTGGGCTCAGAGGGAGCTGGGACTTCCTGGCTGGAGATCTCCTCCCTCTCCAGACAAGGCCCGCCCAGTTGGGCCCTGGGCACATTCTCCAGGATGGTCCAGCCTCCCAACWCACGTCCCCAGAGCATCCCTATGTGGGTCACCTCCAAGGCAAATGTCCAAGCATCAGCCAGTCAACGAAACCAGAGGGAATCAATTTGGTTAATCACACATCAAGTCCCAAGGCATCAGCAGGACCAGGGACCAGGTGTCCTAAGTGTCCCACTGTGTCATCTTTCTGGGGTGGGGGTGGGGACAGGGGTGCCTTCTATCCATCCTTCCCTCCCCCTGCCCCCCCCCCAGTAACTTCAGTCCCTCCCTCCTGGCTCACAGCCACCACCTGGATGGATCTGCTCTCTTCAGATCTAGCCAGGCCTCCTGCATGCTGCCTGCCTCCAGCCCTGCCCCACACAGGCCTGGCCCAGCCAGCAGGTTCTCTCCTGTGAGCTCCCCAAACTGATCCATGCATGGCCTCCTAGCCACCCCTGTCTTCAGGCTCAGCCTGACCCCAAATGTTCTTTCCTTCTATCCTCAGCAAGTGCTGAGTCTGTGAATAAAGCCACATAACCAGTGGGCACTAAGGGGCCTTCCTCCCTGTGTTGGCTCAAGACCCTGGTCTCAGGCCAGGACAGAATGGGGCAGGGAGGGCCCACGTACTGTGGAATGTGGGTCACTTCCCTGCAGGTGGCTTCAGGTGGGGCAGCCTGTGGGCCTCAGCACCCYGGGGGACTCTGGCTCAGGTGAGTGGGGCTGCAACAGGCAGACCTGGCCTCTGAAAGTGGGACAGCTGGGTAAAATAAACTCCCCCTGTGTAGATCCCTGCATGTTCTCCGCCGTGTGTGGCTGCTCTGGGGTCTTATCACACCAAGGGACAACAGAACTTCTTCAAACCCTCAAGTATAGATGGGGAGACTGAGGCCCAGAGACCCAGGAGGATTGTCTAGGGTTATCCCACAAAGCAACACCCAAACTTCCAGGCAATTCACAGCCTCCTGACCCCTAGACTGTGGAGATGGGAGCCTGGGGTACTCTTAAGCCAAAGCACTCCAGCAAGATGACCTGCAGGGCCACATTATAAAGCACTGCATTGGCGAGGAGTCTTCCAAATCCCAATAGAGGTTATTCCCACAGACTAGAGCAGTAATTCTCAGAGTGTGGTGGTAATGAGAGGGGGTCTTCAAGATCACTGATTTAATAATTTGCTAGAAGGAACAACACACAGAATTCAGCAAAGCTTCTTTCTGGAGCCACAGTTACAGTTYATTATAGTGAAAGAACAGAGAAAATTAGCAGCAGAAGTGGGTACAGTGTMCAGGAGACACCAGGTGCCAGCTTCCAATTGCCCTCTTCTAATAAAGCCATGCTGACACAGGTTAATTCTCCCAGGTATAATGTGTGACAACATAGAGGACATACTGTCAACCAGAAAAGCTCACCAGAGCCTTGGTGCCTAGGATTTTGGGGTTTTGTTGTTTGGTTTCAGTATAGGAATTCACCCAGGGTCTCACTGGGTTTTTTTATTTGTTTGTTTTGTTTTGTTTTCATTTATTTTTTTTATTTTGAAATAGGGTCTCACTAAATTATCCAGGCTAGCCTTGAACTTGAGATCTTCTTGCCTCAGCCTCCTGAGTAGCTGGGATTGCAGGTAAATGCCACCATACCCAGCTGGTGTTTTTACTACATGTTGCTCATATAGGCACGGCTGACTTTAGTTATTCAGTCTTCAGCTTCTGCAGAGGTGTTTAACCTATGGATACGGTATGGTTCACGGCCTCCCCCAGAAATCAATTTTTTTATCATAGATCATGTGGTGTGAACCAAGGCATACAGGTGAGCAAAGACACTCTTACAGGGCAGGATGTTCCAAGGGCTTGACATTCCAAGGAGCCAGACAAAGCCAAACTTTTCTTTGACATGCACAGAGTTTGGAACAACACTAGCATCATCAGTACAACCTGAGAACTTGTTAGGTAAATTCTTGGAGTCACACTAAATTAAAATGGAAGTCGGAGGATGGAAACCAGCCATCTGTTTTAACAAGCCCTCCAGGTGATCCTGAGGCAGGCTAAAGTCGAGAAACACTGTCCTCAGAGGGATGAGGTCCTGGGTGGGGCTGAATCCTTGAAGAGGGAAAAGTGGGGATATGCCCCACACAGCTGCCAGGACTCCCAGATACCTTTGGAAAGGAATTTTCCAACACTGCGGGCAAGGCCAGTCTAGTGAAGAAAAAGTGGACAAGACAGGCTAGCCAAGAGCCAGCAGGAAGTAATAGCCCCATGGGAATGACTCAGACACAAATGCCATCCCCTACCCACCAGCACAGCTTCCTGGATTGTCAGCTCAAGTCTCTGAGAGGACCCCCTCTCTTGCTACTGTTCCCTCATGACCCTGAACCCGCTTTGGGATAAATGTCCTGCCCAGTGTTGACAGTATCAGAACTGAGGTCTCAGGAGAAGGACACACTGGGGAAGCTGAGCAGCACTGGGAAAATGGAAGCTTTGTAGTCAGCCAACTTGGCCTCTCCTAAGATTGGGAGTGGGGTTCAAAGCTGGTATCGGGATCCCCTATCCAACAAACTTAGGCATGTCTCCTACTCTGTGTCCAAATGGGGAAGGAGCCCCTCACAGAAGAGGGAGGAGGATGAGACAGACTGTAAGGAAAGGACTCAGTGGCTTTAYGATCAACGTCCCACAGGGCAACGCTGCCACCAGTATAAGTCAAAGAACAAGTCTGGTTTCAGACCCAGCACTTTCCCTACACCTCCAGCCTGGCTTTGGAAAGTCCAGAGTTCTGACCCCCAAACCCAAGGAGAAAAAAAAAAACTTGCGCCCTGATGTTGCTTGTTAAGGGAGTATACCAGGGAACACCCCTGGGTGGGAGAGGAAGTGTGGTCCGAGAAGGCTTTCCCGGAGATGGGGTCTGTGCCCTGCAGGCCTCCAAAACCAAGATTCCTGAAAACCCAGCGGCCAAAAAAGGAGAAAATGACATGCACTAGAAGGGAGAGGGTGGCCGTTCTGCATCAGTTCACCCCTAACTGCAACTGCTCCCACCCTCAGGGAGTCCTTCTTTGCCTCCGAAACAAAGGCCTTTCGTTCCTGAACAAGAAGGAGAGAGAGAATGAAGGATGCTTTGTGCAGGCCACCTCCTCTCCTGCCACTGCCACCATATTGGTGCTAAGCCTGGAGAAGGGGAAAGCCTTAGGAGCCTCTCCTCTCCCGCAGGCCCCGCCCGGCCCCCACCTCCACTCCACCGCAACATTTTAGCGCCATCTGCTGGTCATAAAGGAAATAGCCCTCTCAAGAAACCTGGCCCTTGAACCTGCGCGGGCCTGTTCAGACAGTAAGTTCACAGGAAAATGATGGAGTAGGTGGTCTTGGTGGTCTTGGCTGTGTCCTGCCTCGGCAGGAACTCAAGTCCCCAAAAGGATCGGCTCATTGGGCTCCTACTATACATATGCAAAAACAGGCCCTCCTTCTCAGCAGATGCCAACCTCAGCAAGTAGGCACTGGCGGAGGGGACACGTGGCATCATCTGCACAGCTCCACATTCTCCCAGAGTCTCCCAGGGCCTTTGAAATCTGTGCTTTCATTCTTGGGAATTTGGCTCAGCTCTCATAGAACTCATGCTGAACAGCTGGAAATTCAGAGAGGTACCTGCTCAACTTCAGAGCAGGAACGTCTTGTTCCTGTGTTTGTTCTGTTTTGTGATACTGGTGATTTCACCCAGGGGTGCTCTACAACTGTGGCTATTTCCCCAGCCCTTCTCTTCCTTCCCCCTCACTACACTGCAATTACAGGTGTACAGCACCACCTCAGGTCCCCAAATGTCCTTTGAACACCCTTGCCAGCCTCAGGCTCTTAAGGGCTTGAGGTTTTTGCTTTTGACATCTTTGTTTTTAGCATGTTTGGTGACAAATGACAGAATTCCAGGAACCAGACTATCTCACAAAATAGGCCTGAATATGGTTCTCACACTCCCCTTCCCAGCCCCCAGCCCCTGTCTTTCCTCCACCCTCCTCCCACCCCTTATGATCTCCTTCTTGGTATTCCTGACCCACAGTATTCACACAGCTGCTCCAACCAGAAATCTGGGAGTCGGTTTAGACTCCTTTTTTTCACTCCCTGGGTCCAGACTACTCCTGAACAGTTCCCAAGTTCAGTGTTCTCCGACCCCACTGCCACTATCCCAATGCAGGCCTCTTGCCTGAGGCGCTTAAATAGTCCTTTAACATGTGGAGTTTACAAATTTTTTTCTGTTAAGGCCCAGAGAGCAAACATTTTCGACTCTGCAAGTCAAGAGACAAAAATCAAAGCTATTATGTCAGTACTTTCGCAGTCTTCATACCATTCCAGTCAAAAGCAGCCATCGACAATATACAGAAGCAATGGAGCTGGGGGAATAGCCACAGTTGTAGAGCACCCCTGGGTTAAATCACCAGTATCACAAACAAAACAAACACAGGAACAAGACGTTCCTGTTGTAAAGTTGAGCAGGTGCCTCTCTGAATTTCTAGCTGTTCAGCAGAAGTTCTATGAAAGCTGGGTTCCAATAAAATTCCAATGAATTTCACACAATTTTCATGTGCCGCAAAATAATATTCTTTTGATTTATTTTTCAGCTTTTAAAGTACAAAACCCATTCTTAGCTCACAGTTAGTACCAAAACAGACCCACTGGCCATAATTGGCACCTCTCCCAGCCATTCTCCATACTCAGCCAAAGTGATTTGCCAAAACACAGGTCTCATGTTTTCAATTCCTTGCATAAACTAGCCAATAACTTGGGATGAAAAAAAAATGAGTGGGTTGGGGATGTAGCTCAGTTGGTAGAGTGCTTGCCTCTCATGTACAAGGCCCTGGGTTCAATCCCCAGCACTGAAACTAAAAAAAAAAAAAAAAAAAAAAAAAAAAAGAATAGAAAAAAGTCATTTTCTGCCTATCTTGTCAACCTTGGATTTTTGTCTGCTTTGTTGATTGAAAGTATTTTTGAAAAGTATGCCTAAGAAAGCATGTAAAAGCGGGATTTAGCTCAGTTGGTGAATCGACTGCGTAAGATGTTCAATGCCCTGGTTTCAATCCCCAGCACTGAAAATAAAAAAAAAAAAAAAAAAAAAAAAAAAAAAAAGAGTTTCTTGGGGCTGGGTAGAGCTTCCTAATAGAGTGTTTGCTTAGCATGCATGAGATCCTGAATTCCACGTATGAGGTCCTGAGTTCCATCCCCAGCACTGCAAAACAAAACAAAACAAAAACAGTACAAGCTACTTAGCCTTCAAAAGTTTTCACATTCAACCTCTTCAGGAAAAAAGAACAACATTGCAAGCTCCCTTCTTCATGTTTTCATGCCTTTAGTTCCTTTGCTGGGGATATTTTTGCCTGCCATCTGGAAAATTCCTATTCTCCACTCAAAGTTCAGAGAGAAAAGACAGCCCCCTCACCCACCCTCCAATTCCCCCACCTTCTGACTCCCCCACCCCACATATGCCCACAGGCACCTCGGGGAATATCAGGTTTTAGCTGAAGTCCAGAAGTGGAGAAGGGAGGAAGGTGGGGTGCAGTGGAGAGGGCAGTGGAGAGGTCTG